GATTTTTGTACAAAAGCATTCAATCATTCTGTCAGACCAAACCCAGAAAAGTAAGCTATAGTTCAGAGCTGTTCTATTCCATTTACTATGCAAAGCCATTCTTGGCGTTTGCAACTCTCAGCCCTTTTGAGTATTCTCGCAGTGTTCACCTTTTCCTCCACCACTTTTTTTTTCTTTTTTTTTTTTCTGGTTTATTTCTCCAAAGTGAGAAGCATGAGTATTCTTGCAGTGTTCACCTTTTCCTCCACCACCTTTTTTTTCTTCTTTTTTTCTGGTTTATTTCTCCAAAGTGAGAAGCACATGGCAACTCTTAATAAGGAAAACATTTAATTGGGGCTGGCTTACAGGTTCAGAAGTCTCGTCCATTATCGTCATGGCGGAAGGCATGGTGGCGTGCTGGCAGACATGGTGCTGGATCCGCAGGCAGCAGGAAGAGAGCATGACACTGGGTCTGGCTGAAGCTTCTGAAACCTCAAAGCCCACCCCCAGTGACACACTTCCTCCAACAAGGCCACACCCCCTAATAGTGCCACTCCCTAGGAGCCTATGGGGGCCATTTTCATTCAAACCACCACAGAACTTTATAGGGGGGCTTTCCTTCTTCCTCCTTCTGTCTTTCCTTCTTTGCTTACTTGCTGTGCTGGGGAAGAAACGCTGCCCCTTCTGCACACAAACAAGCTCTCTATCAGTGACCTGTAGCCCAGCCCTTTGTGGTTGGTTTCTTGTTTATTTGTTTGGCTTTAAAAGACAAAGACAGAAACAAGGTCTTGCTTTGCAGCTCAAGATGGCTTGGAATGAATGATTTTCTTGCCTCTATCTCCTAAGTGCAAAGAATACAAGAACGGTACCACTGTACCTGGTACCCCCTATTAGTATTTTGAGGATGGGTTTGGAGACCAACTATACATTCAAATTCCAACTCCTCCAATGATCAGTAGGGTGACCTGCGGCAAGTTTCTTACACTTCCTTGGCCTCAACTGTCCCACCTATAAAATGGAGTTAATGAATACTTGTCTTATAGGCACACTATGACCAGAATGACCACTCACCCCGACTGTCACTTTAAAAAAAAAAAAAGATTTATTTTTATTCTTTATTTATGTGTTTGCATGTGTCTGTGTGTGGGGATATGCACATGTTTGCAGGTGCCTGAGGAGGCCAGCAGAGGGCATCAGATCTTCTGGTGCTGAAGTTATAAGAGATTGCGAGCAATCTAATGTAGGTCCTCCCGAAGAGCAATCAGTGCTCTTGACCACTGAGCTACCTTTCCAGCCTCAGACATGTTTATTTTTTAAAAAATATTTATTTATTTATTTATTTATTATGCATACATGTTCTGCCTGCATGTATGTCTGCAGGCCAGAAGAGGGCACAGATCTTATTACAGATGGTTGTGAGCCGCCATGTGGTTGCTGGGAATTGAACTCAGGACCTCTGGAAGAACAGCCAGTGCTCTTAACCTCTGAGCCATCTCTCCAGTCCCCAGACATGGTTTTTATTAAAATGCTAGTTACTTAATGTATGAAATCACCAGAGAATAAAGTCGAAATTTTGTTTCTTTTTCTTGTTCAAGACATAGCCGTGATGAAGAAGGTCTCCATGACAACAAACTGACAATTCCAAACACACGACATTTGAAAGACCAGGAGCACACTGCCAGGGCCACCCTTTCAAGATCAAAGTTCTGGCTCTTTCCATATAACAAAGGGCGCCAAGCTTGCTGGGGCAGATCACCAGTCCTCACAATGCCTCTCACAAACGTGTGGAAAACCGAGGGTGATTAAGGGCTTGGGAACAAAGAGCGCGTCTACTCCAGATAGTGACCCTGCACAAACAGCTCTCCCCTGGCCTGAAAAGGGAATCCGAGCCTTGCGGGGCTCACTTGGTACCAACAAAGTGTCTCCAGGCAGAGCTAGCCCTTCCCCTTCTACAGAAGGCGCTGAGTAAACTCTCTGTTGTCAAGAACAGGACAACAGAGAACCTGGGGGCAGAGGCAGGACCTCACCTCTCCTGCAGCCTGGGAGCTGCTGGTCTTTTTCTGCCGTCCCTTCCTCTTTGCCTCAGCAAGACCGTTCTCGTGATTCAGCAGTTCTTAGAACCATTGCTATTTTGACTTTCACGTTGTCTGCTCCGGTCGCCTTACCTTTTTTTTTTTTTTTTTTTGGTTGTTGAGATAAGCTCCTCCCATGACCCCCTGAGTGCTGAGACCACAGGGCCATCCTACCACATCTGATTTCTCTTTTCTTCTCCTGGCAGCGAAACCTTCTTACAAGTTAAAAAGTGTTTCAGTGACTAAATAACACACAGTTAAAAGGAGTTGGATGCTGGGTAAAGAAGAAAGGAACCGGAACCTCTCCTTAGCTCCCACAAAGCTTCAGATCCCTGTGAAGACCCTGTTGACTGACACTCCTGGGCTAAACATCCCAAGGCAGAGCAAGGCGGGCACTGGGGTCCCTGCAAATCTAAAATAATTCGAAGCAGGGCTCTCCTGGGGGTTCTTGGCGTAGATAACTGGCCAGAGCGTCCAAATGAAGAACAACCCTAGGAAGGGTTACCTCCAAGTAGGAATCCCAGCCCACTGCAGGTTCAGCTGAACTCTTTCGGGTTGCCACCCCCGCTAATCTCCATGGTCATAGCACAGGCGTCATGTTATTCAGCCGCCTGCTCCCCAGCTAAGACACTGAGTCACCGGGATGTTGAATTCAGACGAGGTGGCATTTTCAAGGCTGTAGATAATAAATACCTGCCCCATGGGCTAGGATTCCCTTTGAGAAAAACAAGAGCTGCCCGGCCACCTGCTTCTGTGGCCCCCCGTGGATGCAGGGTGACTGGTTTATTTTCCATGCAGATGCTCTTTCCCAGATTGTCGTTATCTTAAACACGACAACTAAAACAGTACATGAAGCTGTTGCCCCGGCAACATGACAAAGGGCCTCGCCCTTAGCTGCTGTAGATGTAATTTGTCAAAGGCAGCTGGTGTAAAGGGAAGAGAACATCAGGTCCTGCAAAGGACTCTTTGGAGACTTTCTTCCAGTTAAAGCAACTCTGTCACAGAGCAGGAGAAAAGTCATGGCCTATGTGATTAAACATTCAGAAACAGGGCTAGCAAGATGGTTCAGGAGGTACAGAGGCTTGCTGCCAAGCCTGACGACCTGAGTTCAATCCCCAGGACCCAGAAGGTGTTAAGAAGAAAACTAACCTTTGTGACTTCTCCTCTGACTATGAGCTGCTCACGATGGCTAGTTCATGCCCACACACATACACCAAGGAAATCAGTAAACATTAAAAAAAAAAATTAAAGAAATATTCAGAAACACCTAGCTAGGAACACCAAGGAAAAAATTCTCCTACTTTTCTGTTCTCTCTGCAGAAAGATAAAGGACTCACTAAAGCCATAGAATAGCTGCATCTGAGCTGTTTAAAGACCTGGAGCTGAAAGCATGCTCTAAAGCGGGAGGGGCGCTGGGACTAAGGCAAAAGGCAAGAGATACAGAAAGCAGCCAGGCCGGGCGGCGGTGGTGGTGGTGGTGGCGGCGGCAGCGGCGGCGCACGCCTTTGATCCTAGCACTTGGGAGGCAGAGGCAGGCGGATCTCTGTGAGTTTGAGGCCAGCCTGGGCTACAGAGTGAGATCCAGGACAGGCGCCAAAACTACACAGAGAAACCCTGTCTTGAAAAAACAAACAAACAAACAAACAAACAAACAAAAAACCAAACAAGCAAAAATAAAGCAGCCAGAACATTCGAGAACATTTAGACACACACATTATAGTGGAACTCCTTAGCATGCCTATTACCGATTCTCTCATAAATCATAACATGTCATGGTAGCATCTGTTGGTACTGTCACCAGCAACAGAGCCCAGGGGACCCACAGAGACCAAGTTCAGCTCGCTAGAGATTTTGGTAGAAACGCCAAAGCCTACATAAATCAGCCAGCTGGGAAGGGGCGGACCTAAAGCCACAGCCTATTTCTTGCTTCCCTACAGTCTCCTCTCTTCTCTGGGGCCTTCATCTCTGAGCTCTTATCTCTAAGGGACATATAAGTGAGACCAGCTTTCAAATGGTGACCCATGGAACACTGAGTCATAAGGGCCTTGGGCACCTCCACCCTCCACAGAATGACCCAGGTTCAGTCCCGCCTTTCTATTTCTTGGGCCCTTACTGAAAATTATTCATGAGGACAATTTATTAGGAAAAAAAATCAGAAGTCATCAGTCTAAGGAGCAGGACCTTATTTATTTATCATGAGATGTGGGTTTTGTTATGTAGCCTTCCCTGGCCTTGAACTTACAGAGATCCATCTGCCTTTGCCTCCCAGTGCTGGGATGTAAAGATGTGTGCCATCCTACCCAGCCCATGAATTTTATTTTATTTTTGAGATTCATTCTATCATATTTAATTACGTGCCCATATGTGTGGGTCTGTGCACATGTGTGCAGATGCCTGAGGAATCCAGAGATGTCTGGAGTTACAGGTGGTTGTGAGCAGGCCAAGATGGGCGTTGAGAATTAAACTCAGGTTCTCTGTAGGAGCACTGTGTGCTCTTAACTACTGGGCCATTTCTCCAACTCCAGCACATTTTATTTTTAAGGACTATTTTATCACATACTTATGCAAGAAGCATATTCACTGAAATTAAAACACAATGCCTCTTTGCTCACACAAAGAAAGACACTAAGACAAGACATATACTGTGCGTAGGGCAGCAGTTCTCAACTTGTGGGTGAGTCCCCTTTGGAGGTCGCATATCAGATATCCTGAATATCAGATGTTTTTATTATGTTTCATAACAGCAGCAAAATTACAGCTATGAAGTAGCAATGAAATAATTTTACGGTTGGGGGTCAGCACAGCATGAGGAGCTGTATTAAAGGGTCGCAGCGTCGGGAAGGTTGAGAACCACTGGGGTAGAATCAGAAATGGAGTGATGATGGAACAGACTGACCCAGAGGTCATCTAATCCGTCCCACCCACCGCGTCCCCAGCCCCACCCCTTACCGAGTTGGTGCCCAGGATTTGCAGGTTGGGTTTCTCGGACTCCAGCAGCTTGGCCACCATCTTAAGGAAGCTTTCCACGAAGAGGTTGATGCTCTGGCAGTGGCAGGCCATGAGTAGCTGGTCCAGCGCCTCCATGGCGATACACACGTACCTGAGGACAGAGGCAAGGTGGCTTCACTCGGTCTCGGTCTCGCCTACTATCGCACCTGGCTAGGGCAGTATCTGGGGGAGGAGATGCCTCGGTGGGCTGCCAGTGTCTGTGCGGTGCTTCTAACAAGTGTTCACTCCAGCCTGGAACTGAGAATCAGGGTGAGACCGAGCTGCAAGAGGTGCTTAAGAATGTTAAGGCTCCCTGGTCAAGTTCATGTGCTACACGTATAACTAAGAATGAGCCCAAAGACCAGATCCTCCTCATCAGTCCAGATCAAATGCATCTTTGAACCCGAGGAGGATATTTATAAACTCTTGATATTTTGGGTCTTAAAAAAAAACAAAAAGCAAACAAACAAACAAACAAAAATGTTCGAGTCAATAAAACAAATACCTAGGAGGAATCACCTGGCCTCCTCCAGGTCCTAACCATACTTCTGTGGTGGCCATCAAACCACAGAAAATTTCTAGTAAACCACCTGAGCCCCAAACCAACTTGGCACATCCACACAAAGTCACAGAGTCCATGGTGTCTTCTTCTTCTTCTTTTTCTCTCCCGAGACAGGGTTTCCCTGTGTAGTTTTGCGCCTTTCCTGGAACTCACTTTGCAGACCGGGCTGGCCTCGAACTCACAGAGATCCGCCTGCCTCTGCCTCCCGAGTGCTGGGATTAAAGGTGTGCGCCACCACCACCCGGCCCATGGTGTCTTCTAAACCTGTTTTTAAAATTTTTTATTTTTAAAGATTTATTTATTTTATGCATATGAGCGTTTTGCCTGCATGCATGTCTGGGCACTATATGTGTGCCTGGTGCCTTTGGAGGCTGGAAGAGGGCATTGGACCCCCTGGAACTGCAATTACAAATGGTTGTGAGCAGCCCTGTGGGTGCTGGAGCTCAAACCTGGGTCCTCTGGAAGAAGAGCATCCAGTGCTCTTACCTACTGAGCCATGTCTCCAGACCCTAGACCTGTTTTTAAAAACAGCCATCGGACACCAATTACTAAAAACATCCATGCACTAACTTCTGTACAAAACAGTCATTTAAAAAAAGAAAAGACTCTATACTTTGAAATCTTTTCCACTTGTACAAAATTTATTTCTGTAATCTCTATGAGCTTGAGCCCGATATTAAATCCTTGAATATTACTAAATTCAATTATTAAGGATTATGAAATAGTCATCTCTGGGTATACTAAAAAAATGGATCATGTCATCCGTTTATCTATCAAGTCCTTTTTCTCGAGGGGCTAGGGTGGAACCCAGGGCTTTGTACACGCTTGTTAAGCACACTAGCACTGAGCTACAGCCCCAGCTCTCCATGGCGGCTTTGGAACACAAAGGCAGCATTGCCTCTTAGAATTCATTTGGTGAGTGGAAGCCCTGGCTTGGCATTCCTCCTACCCAGGACAGGCATGCCTCACCCTCCATGACCTTGACCTCCCCAGACGGGCACAGCCACAGCTAAGACGCCTCTGGCAGGCCTGGCATTGCAGAGAGTTCAAGCCACCCAAGCTGGAAAAGAAAACTGGCTGGGGCCCCAGCCAGAAGGGACATGCCAGAGAGGACAGGTGCGGGGTGGGGGGGGGGGGGGGGGGGCAAGCTTCCTTGTAGGGATACCTGGACACGGCCAAGTCACCAGGCACAGTTAGAAAACGATAGGCAAAGAGAAATCCCCCCCCCTTTTTTTTTAATGGGTCATGCCAGCATTTTTGTCCTGACATCTTATTTCTAATAGAGTTTAAATGAAATAAATAGAGGAACGGGGTGGGGTGGGTGGCAAGAGAAGATTCCAGAAGGCCTCTCAACTTCTTAAGCATTATTGTTACCATCACAGAGATCCAAGTTCTTCACGGGATCCACAGTAATAATAGGTCTGAGAGTCCAAACTGGCCTCTGTGGGTACTTGGGGCAGAGCGGACCAGGATGGAGCTGGACCATGGGGGAAGAAGGTATAGGCTGCCGCCGCAGCAAACATTGACCCCAGATATGCCCCGCATGGAAGATGAAGATGAAAGGTACGTAAGTGACCTGGAACAGACTGGGAATCCCGGGCAGCAGAGGAGGATGCTGGGTAGGTTACAACCAGAAGCCAAGCTCAGGAACCAACACAGAAGGTGAATGACAGCCGCAGAGGAAAATACCCAGAGTGCCTTATGCCTACGAGTCAGACGAGAAGTCCCTCTGTGGAGTTCCTGGGGAGGCTGGTTCTGCCTGGACACCTTGTTCCAGATCAGAAGTAGCCAGGAAAACCAGAGAAAGGTCTGTAGCGTAAGAAGTGTGGGATGAGTAGGCTGGGAGCCCCACCCAGATGGAGAGGAAAGATGGACCTGGAGTCCCTGGATAAAGGGCCTCTTACTCTACGCATTCTGTGTATTCTGTCTATTCTCAGCCCATTCCTGAATTCAACTTTCTGAGTTTTTTAGAAGCCCGGGAACAGGGAAGACAGTTTTGGCCCCAGCTAAGGAAGAGCAGGCTGACCCTCCCCATCAAGCAGAGTTTGCAACACACTCTTCTGAAGGGTCAAACCACTCTCCCACCAGCTTCAGATCCCTCTAGAAAACAATGTTGGGTCATCTCGTCTCCATCCTCGGTGCTGAGCCCTGGGCTGGGGCAGATCTGCAGACACTGGGGACCTCAGATACTGTCTAATAAGATATCCCGTACACCGCGGTCTATACTTGGTGCCCCTTGTGACTTGTCTCACTCAGCACAGTCATCCTTCCCTTGTGCCCCTGTTTCTAGGGACGCTGGGCTGATCTGGAAAGAGACTGAAAGGAAGGAGAGAAGCGTAAGAAACGCTGGGGTTTGGCTCCTTTGCCTATCACCACCCTTTATACCAACAACTTGAAGTTCGCCCATCTTCTTCTCCCTGCTCACAGCTGACATCCTTCTGGGGCCAGACACTCAGGAATCAGGACCCCGTACGGCAGTGACACAGTGACAGTGTGCAGAAAGTCAGGGGCCATGAGGAGATGGTTCTGGGGTTCACAGGTCATGAGAAGGTGGTCCAAGGTTCATATCCATAGAACCAAACCATAAATAGTCACCCCTAGCCGGGCGGCGGTGACACACACCTTTAACCCCAGCACTCAGGAGGTAGAGCCAGGCGAATCTCTGTGAGTTCGAGGCCAGCCTGGTGTACAGAATGAGATCCAGGACAGGCACCAAAACTACACAGAGAAACCCTGTCTTGAAAAACCAAGGAAAAAAAAATAGCCACCCCTATCATGCTAGGAAGACACAGCTCCTGTCACTGATGTGAAAATGCTGCTCTTCCAAGGCCCCCACCCAGGACAAGGAAGAGGCCAGGGTGTTGGGCAGGGAGCCGCAGAAGGGCAAAGAGAAAAAGAGGATCCTAACAGACATTTCTCCAAATGTTTATGATCAAAGTCCTCCTTCAGGCTTTAAATACCTAGACGCTGCGAGGGGCTATTTTTAACAGGATGATGCCAATTTTGAATTGTCATTCCAGGAGCAGAGAGGCAGGATTCGAAGAGGCTCTGTCAGCTATGGACATTTTTAATCACCAGAAACATGACTGCAGAGAGCTCGGGCAGAATCGGTATTAAATGTTTAATGCTGTCGCTGGCATGGTAGGCGTCTGGTTCAGTCTAGGCTGAAGCCATTTTTCCTTGCTTGAAATGTGCTCTACAGTCCGTCAAGGCAAGGAGTTATGTAATCGGCATGCACAAGGCGTCCACGCTCCTCCTCTCATGGAGTGGCAACCTAATTTTATTATATAGAGCATGGTCGTGGAAACATATTAGTTCGCGTTTTTGTTTTCACATCAGAAGAGATAGCCTGGCTTAAGAGTTGCCAGAGCTGGCGGGAGAGCACATCCTTAGTATACACAAAGCCCCAGTTTGGTGCCCAGCCTCCTCCCCAACCCCAGCATTTACTGATGGCCCTTGGTTTCTCAACCTGAGGACTGTCCAGCCAGTCTGTCTGGTATTGGTTATATAATAGGTGTGGTGGGCATGGCTGGGCGGTGGAAGAGACGCTAGAAGTTGAGGAGCCTGGAGGTGATTTTTTGTTTTGTTTTAGTTTTGTTTTTCAAGACAGGGTCTCACTATGTAGTCCTGGCTGTCCTGGAACTCACTCTGTAGACCAGGCTGGCCTCAAACTCATAGAGATCCGCCTGCCTCTGCCTCCTGAGTACTAGGATTGAAGGCGTGTGCCACCACCACCTGGCTCTGGACTTGATTCTTTCTTTTCCCCCAGACAGGGTTTCTCTGTGTAGTTTTGCGCCTTTCCTGGAACTCACTTGGTAGCCCAGGCTGGCCTCGAACTTGGGTAGCTATTTGGCCTATGAATTACGTGATCATGGCTGCAGGGCAGGAGCAGGCACAATGCACACTGAGGTCCACTCTACTGTTGTGACATGTCCAACAGTCAATGTGTAGGCAACAGAAAACGCAATGAGACAAACAAAGTCCTCCAACTGTGCCACTCACAGATGAATGCTCTGAACACATCGGCATTTGGACTTCAGTTTTTAGTCACTGAGATTTGTTGATATATTTTTTTCACTTTAAATACTTAGTACATGGCCATTAGAGTCTAAGCTTTCCTATTTTTAATATCATTAGATAGGGATCCTTATAAACTCCATTTCTATCATCTTATCATACGATACAAACCATAACTTACTGGGGTTCTCTCTCGCCAGACGCTTAGGCCATGTCTAGCTTTTCATTGTTATAAAAAGCACTATGGTCTGGGCATGGAGCCCCACATTTGCGCTCCAGTACTTATGAGGAGGCAGAGGATCCAGAGTTCCGGGTCATCCTCAGCTACATAGTTAGTTCGAAGGCAGCCTGGACAAGCCGAGACTCCGTTGGTTTGGTTTGGGTTTTTTGGGGACAGACAGAAAACACAGCAAAAACCGTCTCTGGGTATAAGGTAGAGGTGTTGAGATGGTTTCCTTGGGAAGCCACGGGCGGAAAAGGACTAGAGTTTTGAAGATCTAGACACATATTTCATGACCTAGAAAATTTTAACCGATTTGTTCTCTTTCCAGAAAAGTGTGAAAATGCCTCTTTTTTTTTTTTTTTTTTTTTTTGGTATTTCCTGATTAGTACTGGAATATTTACTTTTAGAAAAAAGTGAATGTGATAGGATGGTCCAGGAGTTTGGGCACGGACTGTAAGTCTGACTTATCTAGGCGACACTGGCCCTCCGAGTGGACCCTTTATAATCTTTTCCCTATGATGTTACTAATGTGCGACCTTGAATCCTTCACTTTATTTGTTGTTAATATTTATCTTTGATGTTCAGTTTTAAAAATCTGATGGTTTTGGCCGAGTGGTGGTGGCATCCGCCTTTGATCCCAGCAGAGGCAGGAGGATCTCTACAAATTTGAGGCCAGCCTAGCTTACAAAGCAAGTTCCAGAACAGCCAGGGCTACACAGAGAAACTCTGTCTCAAAAAACCAAAAACCAAAAACCAAAAACCAACCAACCAACCAAATAAATAAATAAATAAATAAAATTGACATCAAGATTTAAATAGCAAGGACTCCCCTGGAGGAGGTTGGAATGGGGGGTGGTTGGGGGGGGAGGGGGGGAGAACAGGGGAATCCGTGGCTGATATGTAAAATTAAAAAAATTTAAATAGATAAATGTATTGATCATTTTAAGATTTCTTCTCTCTCTGAAACACACCAAGTCCTTTCCTCTCAGAAGATGAAGATGATAAAGATCTCACTGAAGTGTATTTTTGTCTTGTTTTGAGACGGCAGCTCACATTTCCTAAGCTAGCCTTGCTCTGATGCTGGGGATGACCTAGAACTTTGGATCTTCCTGCCTCCACCTCCCGAGTGCTGGGATCACAGATGTGCTCCACTAGAGATTGAAGCCAAGGCTCCTAAGACACGCCAGACACTAAGCCACACCCCAGCCCTTTCTCTCTAAAGTGTGTTTTTTAGTGGACAAACCACCCCAACCTTGCCTTCTCAGAACATGGCTGGCTCCACCTTCCTGCCTCAGACAGTAAGGGGAGCCAGGTCGGTGAGAATAAGCACCCTGAGAGTCAGACTGACCATGTAAGCTCTACGTGGGCACACGAGGACTCAGTGATGATGCCAAATGGCTACTCCTATGGAGCCAGCATGTCCCCTTCCCAAATGTCCGCAGAATCATCCAAATTCACCTGCCTCAGGAGGCGCATGTAAACCCACCCTCCTTGGTCCCGGTCTTGCCTTCCTCAGTCTATCCAATAGCTCACCCCATACTTTTTTTCTTGAAATGTTATTACACCATCTTACCCTAAAAACGTAACGCAATTTCTGAAAATCCCTTCCTTGGCTTACCCATAGCGATGGCGCCCCACGTCTCGGATGAGCCTCTCTGAGAGGTAGGCACCAATGCGATCCAGCTTTTCTGGAGCCGAGAGGGCATAGAAGGTCAGCTTCTCCATGTTGGTTTTCACCAAACCATCCTGCAGAAGACAGGCAGCTTAAGATCACCATGGCCCCCGTACGGTGGGAAGGCTCCAGTCTGGAGCAAATACCAATTCAACGGAGCTGATGTTTACAGGGTGTCTATTATACAGGGGCCGGGCATCAGGAATGTCGAAAGGATGAAAACAGCATTTCTGGCCTCCAAGCATGGGGCTGGGAAGATACCGTAAATAGCATAGTACTTGCTGTACAAGGATGAGCGTCTGAGTTCAAGTTCCCCAGAACCTGTAAAAGCTGCACACAGCAGCTCTTGTGCCTGTAACCTAAACACTTCCTAAGAGCTGGCTGGGCGTGGACACAGGGGGGCTCCCTGAGCCTCACTGTCCCCAGTTTAACCACAATAGCAAACTCTAGGTTCAGTGAGAGACTTGTCTCAAAACACATGGTGGAGCGTGATAAAGGTACTTGTTGTCAATCTCTGGCCTCCATACATGCATGCCCAGACAAGTGTACCTGCACACATTTGCATACAGGCATACACCCCATACATACAAATATGGACAGAGGTAGGTCTGTGTGCCTGTGTGTATATGCATTAATGGATATACCTGTGGGTGTAGAGACACACACTGGTGTGGATGAAGGACAAGGCATCATTAAAGGTAACTCAGAATTAAGGCGTGTGGATAGTCACCACTAAGACACAAAGGAGGCAATTTCGCAGCTCCTAGGGAATTCTCCAGAGGATATTAGAAACAGGATCCTCCAGCTGCCCATGCAGAAGAGGCCAGTGATTCTCAAATATCACGGCCAATGCATCAAATCCCGACATCCCCAGGCCACAATGCATAACACAGAGTGACACACAGAGTGACGGCTTGGAAGCCAAGCAGCCAGGCCTCCTGTGCGATGCACAGCCAGACACCTGACAGATGCCAGAGGGAGCTGGGGAGAGACACGGGTTCCCGAGCCAAACGCTAGACAGGGGCACGTCTTCCCTAAGTGACGGGAAAACATTTCCATCAGGAGAGTGAGCAACTGAGACAGGGTGAGAAAGATGTGTCAACCGTACAGCCACAGCCCAAGACATTCCTAACAGCCCTTCTGCGCACCCAGCCTTCCAAAGAGTCAAACGTCCTCATCCTCCGTGCGACAGAGCCGCCCGCCATCCTCAGGCTGTGGGCCGGGAAGAGCCGCTGCCCAAAGGCCTTCCCTAGTCAGCAGCCCATGCAGCCCTTAAGGTGACCCACCTCAGGATCTTCAGGGAAGATGTTGTCCACCAGCCTCTTGTACCTGGGACGAAGGGCTCCACAGCAGCCGCACACACCTGGAATGGGGAAACAAAACAAAACAAACACAAAAACTAAGAGTGAAGCCTTCTCAGGAGGCTGCAGAGACTGGAGATCCAGGACCTCTGAGGAAAGAAACCAGGACTGGTGGGCCAAGGGCCTTGTTTTTCCCAGGGTGGAGGTCTCCCACTAATTCCCACAGGCGAAGACGTTGGTCTTTCGTTTGTCTTTGGTTTAGGGATGGGACAGAGTGGGGTGTTCAGAGGAGGAAGCCAGACCTCAGAAGAACACCTGGAGGATAAGACCTCATGTGAAGGCCAAGTGCTGCCATGCCACCATTGACACACACACACACACACACACACACACACACACACACACACACCACACACCACACACACACACACACACACACACACACACACACACACACACACACACCATGAATTTCTGGGATTAGACTATAAAACCTACCGCTGCAGCCCATGAGTCTAGAATATCCTGGGAGGATAAAGGCCACACGGGGGGTGGGGGGTGGGGGTGGGCGTGGGGTGGGGGTGGGTGACTGCTCCTCCTGCCCTCACTGGCTCCCAGCTCCCTATTTCCTGAGCCTCAGTCTCCTCCAGTGTCCTTTCCTGTCCACTCCCTCTGCTGAATGGTCACGACACGATGATGAATGGACAGGATCATTAACTATTAACAGACAGTGAATTTCTAAGGCTCTTGTCTGTGGTATTTGAAACTGCGTAGAAGAGCTGGGCTAGTTCTCCATGCCAGCCCTTCCCTGGTCCCCTGGCCAAACGGAAAGACCAAGAACAATGCAGCAGGGTTTTACAAAGTTAAAATTTATTCCACCAAGAAGCCCCAAATGACCCTGTTCAGGATCTCTGAGGCTGAGAAACCAATGGTGTCCGGAAATCACCAGTAAAACGAACTGGAAAAATAACTTCATGTATCAAATGGAAGCTTCTAGAAACTGTTTCTCTTTAGCCTTCTCCCAGGCAAGACTGTCCTCTGCTGCACCCCAGAGCCTTCGTGCCAAGAGAGTTGGGGGTGGGTAGAAAGTGGAGGGGTGTCTGTATCACAGAGGAGCCTATCAGGGCTTGGGAAAGTCCACCCCACAAAAATGCCCCGTCCACCCGCCAATTATAAATGAGTTGTGTTTGCTCATGCCTTCTACTTGAAATGCAAATGTTCACTGGGAAGATGAGGGGTGACCGAGAAAAGAATGAATTGCTTTGGTGGGAATTCCTTCACCACACAAAGAGCTCTGCATGGGCCAGTGGAAGACGCTGCGAGGGAGCTCCGGCTGGGAAGTCTGGGTGGCAGCCAGCCAGGAGGAGGAGACAGCCATGGTTTGGGCTTCAGACTTCATGATTTGGGTATGTGGGAATGGATGTGAACTTGAAGAAGTGCAAGGTAGCCAGAGGCAGGTTAGCAGGGAACTACCTTCTGTGAGTCTCACCCCTGCCTCATAAGGCAGCCCTCGCTCACGGCTACCCCAAGCTCTCCTGGTCACCAGACTCAAAGACCATGGTTTAAGGTTATATATACACCATCATCTGTCTGGCCCAGATTTTTGGACACTTTCTCCAGGTGCCCAGGCAGGACAGACATATGGCAACTTATTAAATCTTTAGAACAACTCCATGAGGGTGTTTATATCTATATTTATCCCTGCTTTACAAATAAGGAAACTGAGACATGAAGAGGTTAAATGACCTGCCTAGACCTCTACAGTGGCCAACCGGGATTTAGTCTCCCCAAATCAGAGACCAAGCAGGTAACCACTGTACCAGGGCTGGATGGGTTACATAGTTACCAAGCTAGGAAAACTCAGAGCACACGTGCAAAAGGGAAATACAAATTGAGTTGGGAGCAGGAGAGTGCACGCGAACTTGGGGGTGGGGCCCGAGAAGCTGCATTTCCACCCACGGCTAGGCAATACTGAGGCGCCAGTCACTGGCATCTCTTGGAGTCCGTAAAGTGGCAGAGCACTGGGGCTAAGTAATTTAGGCTCGAGAGTCAGACAGAGAGATGCCCGGGTTGAAACCCCAGTTCTTCTGGTTACTTACTGCATGACCTTGAATAATTTAACCCAAATTCACAATTCCTTCCAGATCTGTGGTAATAGTTCCCCAGTTAGGGGGGCATGAGAGACACTGCATCTTTCTTAACATCCTAGAAGAGGAGACGCAAAGACCAGGCAGGGCCAGACCGAGGACCGCTGTGCCCAGGCTAACAGGAATCTTTGAGCGTCATCTGAGTAACAGGCGACAATAAAGACCCACCCCGATGTCATATGCAGGATGGTACAGGGATGTCTAATCAGGGAGCTGTGTGGGTGGGCCACCCAAGACTGGTGACGTATCAAGACAGGACAAGGGAAGGCAGAGTCCAGCAAGACGTGAGTTACCTCCTAGAAGCGAGAGGACAAGGTAAGAATGTGGGGTTCAGACACACAAGCAAGGAACCCAGAGTACAGTAGCGCCTCACAGAACTGGAGGAAACAGGTGTCTGTGAGTGGCCTCTAGAATGGGCCACAGCCAGAAAAGCTAGGGTTGAAGTCCTGGGGGTGGTCTGCCTGTGCGAGACCACCGAAGCTGCACTGTAATGCCCTGAAGCACCATCGCGCTGCCGGAGATGGGGGGGGAGGGAGGGGAGGGTTTTAGAAGAAACACCTGCTGGGGTGGGGGTGGGGAGGGAGAAACCACCAAGAGAGCCTGTCATCTCTACCAGTTTTCCATAAAGCACCTTCATCCCCTCCTTATTTCTCTGCCTCTTTCCTAGGGTCCTCCAAACCCAGACACCGGAGCTTTCAGGTGGCTTGACACTGGTCTCCGATGGATCTCATGAGCGGCCCCCGAAAACTAAATTCCCATTCCCCCGGGATCATCTAATTAACCAATTCACAAGCTGCTGGCGTCTGAGAAGCAGTCTTCTAGAAGGCACATGTTTTTGGTTCGGTTTTGTTTGTTTTGTTTTAAAGCCTGGAAGGCGAAGGAAATAATCCCTAACTGTAGAACCTTCTAGACATTTGGGTGTCGGGGTGTTTATATGAGAAAAACCGGCTCACAGGTGTCTGAGACCCATTCTGTTCTGTTGGGTGCTGGAGTTTTGTTTGTTCTTAAACCTTTACAGGGTTTAAAATAAGGTAGGGATGTGAGATGAAGAACCTGGTTTAGGAGGGAGGGAACCCTCGGAAACAAAACAATGGTTTGGTCAGCTATACGCAGTTCACGGCATGGTAAATATAAAGCTGTGTAGCTCGGCGCGTCCCAACAGAAGAGTCAACGGGACACTCAGTGCAGGGCTGGGATTGCATCGGCATCTTATCCGCATCCTTTTAGGAACTGAACAGTCACGGTCATATAGCTAGAGTGAATTTTTCTGAATCTCAGTCATAGGGCAGTAGGTGTTATATAGCCTCTGTATTTCCTGGGCAACCTGGAGGTAAGGGGAAGAGCGGAGATGGGAGGTTGGGGTGGGGAGTGGGGGGGGGCGGCGAGGCGCTGGGCTCAGGCCTGGCCTCTGGGACCTGAAGCAGGTAAAGGAGGTGCTGGGAAACCCACAAGCCTCTCCCTGAGTTTTCTGCCTGCCTCAGAGCAGGTGAATTTAAAGGAGACACAATCCTGCCAAGAAAGCAATAGGCTTGTCTATTGTTTCTTTAATCTCGCTCCTGAGAGCACTGATTCTTAATGTTCACACACTGAGGTGGGTGGAGATCAGCTCGCGGCCACGTGCCTATATTGTCCCTTTTAATCCTCATCCATTTTCTTTCCAGGAGGGAACTGTTCTCCACCAAGGCCATCGCTCACTCTCTGGAGATCGTGCCTGGCAGATGCAATCTCCATGCACCAAAGGCGACTGACTCTCTAAAGGATGTTCTTGTCACCAAGACCTCACCCGCCTAATCTTTTATACCTATTTTAAGGAAAGTGAAGGAAAAGTAGCCTGGCCAACTTCCTGCTTTATATATATATAGTACCTCTGGACACTTGAAAATCAAGCGATGAATAGAATTTAAGAGACTGTCCAGTTACAAGGCTTCAGTGGCACCCAACAACTTGAAAATCAAGCATGGTCAGACTGTCCTGGCCCCCTCTCCTCCTTTTCCCCTAGGACTCCTCAGCCCAGATGCAAGGACTCCTCACAAGGACATTTGTATGGAAGATTCTCCCTTACAGAATGTTCTTCCCACTATTTTTTGGGGGGAGGAGAACTTCGCTCATTTCTCAAGGGGGTTTCACACAACCTAACTGGGGGAGCTTCCCTTGACTCCATTCCCTTTTAATTTCCTGCATCAATTCATCCATTTTCATAGCACGTTCCCCAAATGACTCCCTCCATCCGTGTCCACATCATGTCCCCTGCAGGTAAGCTGGTCAAGGGTGAGGACAGTGTCTGCTCTAGTCCAGGACCAGCCAGGTGAAGGTTGGTAGGAGGTGCAGGTACATTACTTCATGAATGAAAGCCACAGCTGTGGCTGAGGAAAAGCCCATGGGGTTAAACTTGTAAGCCATCAAAGACGCATTAAAGCACTCGGCAACAGTTCCATAAACGCCTGCCTTGGCCTTGGAGGCTCTGGGAAGGATCTCGGCCTTGAATCCCACAGGGCTGCCGCTACCTCCGACGCTCCAGTTCCAGCTCACAGTTCATGGCTCTGGGGTCCCATCTTTCTACAAAACAGGGTCTTTGAAGCAGGCATGCTGGAGACGGGGAACCGGAGGTCAGAGGGGTCTCCTACCTGCCCATGCCACATACCCTGGTCTCCCCCCTACCTCCTGGCCTCTGTGTGGTCCCAATGACCCCATCAGATGACCCTTCCCCTCTAAGGATGGGCACGGGCTTTAAATGCTCCTCAGGGACTGGTGTGCAGCCATGGTGAGGGCGCTGGCCCCACTCTGGGTGTTCTAGATCTGATGGCAAACAGCCCTGGCTGCTGGCAACATCATCTGGCCAACATCGTCAGCCTTGCCAACTCCTATCCATGGCAGCCTTTCCTCCTGGGCTCCGCCTGCCCCCATCCTGGGTTCTG